TTTTGAGATGGAATCTTGCTCTGTCACCCAGGATGGAGTGCTATGGTGCGATCTTGGCTCACTGCAACCTCTACCTCACAGGTTCAAGCGATTCTTCTGCCTCAGCCTCCTGAGTAGCTAGGATTACAGGGATCCACCACCACATCTAGCTAATTTTTGTATTTTTAGTAGAGATGGAGTTTCACCATGTTGGCCAGGCTGGCCTCCATCTCTTGACCTTGTGATCTGCCCACCTCGGCCTCCCAAAGTGCTGGAATTATAGGCATGAGCTACTGTGCCCGGCCTTTTTTTTTTTTTTTGAGACAGGGTCTCACTCTGCTCTGTTGTCCAGGCTGAAGTGTAGTGGCACATCTCCACTTACTGCAACCTCCGCCTTCCAGGTTCAAGTGATTCTCCTACGTCAGCCAACCGAGTAGCTGGGATTACAGAAGTATGCCACCATGCTGGCTAATTTTTTGTATTTTTACTAAAGACAGGGTTATGCCATGTTGGCAAGGCTGGTATCAAACTCCTGGCCTTATGTGATTCACCTGCCTCTACCTCCCAAAGTGCTGGGATTACAGGCTTGAGCCACCACACCTGGCCATCTGACAACTGACTTTTGAACTTGACCCTTGTGAACCTCACAGAGCATTTGCCCTCACAGAGCTGGCAGCCTAGGCGTGAAACAGAGGATTGTAGTCAGCACAGTGTGAATTACAGGAGGGGGAGCATGAGCCGCTACAGGACCACAAGGGGTGTGGTCCTAACCCAGCCTAGAGCCTAGGGGCTGCTTCCTACAGTAAGCAGAATATCTGGGTTAAGTGCTGGACTTTGGAGCTAGGCTGCATGGGCAGAGGTCCAGTTGCACAGCTTACTACGGTGTGACTTTGAGCAAGTTTCCTCATCTTTCTGTGCCTCAATTTTCTCATCTGTCAAATAGGGATCATTGTACCTAACTCTCAGGCTTAGTAGAAGTACCAAATACGTCAAGACAGGTCAAACACAGGCCTTGCTCACAGTCTGTGCCGAGTAAATGTCAACACTACTGATGATGGCTATAGTCCCTCCCTTTTATGTGTGTAACAGGTTTATTAAGATATAATTGATAGGCTGGGCACAGTGGCTCACGTCTGTAATCACAGAACTTTGAAAGGCTGAGGCAGGCAGATCACTTGAGGTCAGGAGTTTGAGACCAGCTGGCCAAAATGGTGAAACCCCATCTCTACTAAAAATACAAAAAAAATTAGCTGGGCATGGTGGCACATGCCAGTTGTCCTAGCTACTTGGGAGGCTGAGGCAGGAGAATTGCTTGAACCCAGGAGGCAGAGGCTGCAGTGAGCCAAGATCACACCACTGCACTCCAGTCTAGGTGACAAAGCGAGACTCTGTTTCAAAAAAAAAAAAAAGATATAATTCATGTACTGTAAAAATCACCCATTTAGGCCAGGGGTTGTGGCTCATGACTGTAATTCTAGCACTTTGGGAGGCCAAGGTGGGCAGATAACCTGAGCTTAAGAGTTTGACATCAGCCTGGGCAACATGGTGAAACTCCGTCTCTGCTAAAAATACAAAAAATTGCCGGGTGCGGTGGCTCACGCCTGTAATCCCAGCACTTTGGGAGGCCGAGGCGGGTGGATCACGAGGTCAAGAGATCGAGACCATCCTGGTCAACAAGGTGAAACCTCGTCTCTACTAAAAATACAAAAATTAGCTGGGCATGATGGTGCATGCCTGTAGTCCCAGCTACTCGGGAGGCTGAGGCAGGAGAATTGCTTGAACCCAGGAGGCGGAGGTTGCGGTGAGC